CGTAAACCTATAGATAAAAAATTCTCATGCATATAAACAACATTCAGAAATAGTAGTTGAATGTTAAAAGGAAGTATCGTGGTCAAAGAGACACGGCACGTTTTTTCCCCTGACCTAATCACTGAGGTTTTCTGAAATTCTTGAAGTTCTCAAGATATGTAACTGTCTCTTCCTCCCCTGTGTGAAACGTCAGTGCATATTGTTATATTTTCAGTATTCAAACTGACAAATGATAAGCTTAAAAACGTTAGTATTTCCAGCTCATACAGCCCATTTTTAGGAATTCTTTAATGTCTGATGTATTCCTTAAGAATATCTTCATGGAGTTACATTTCAAGTAGCAGTTCCAAAATATTTTATCTAGGGTAAAGACCTCAACACACTTTCCAGAATAAATACTGATGCTAAGTAAACCTTTTTTTCCTTATTCCTGAGTAAATAAGCTGTTGCTTGGAGAAGCCTATATTTGTTAAAGGAGAGTCAAAGAATCAGTATGTTCCCTTAGTGCAAAGTAGTATTAATAAAATCTTCTGTATGGACCTAGCTGGTGCACAAGTGAGAATTCAATTTGAATTTTCAGATTAAATGTTCTAGAGACACAAGACCTGAATAACAAAAGTAAATAGACAAGTCAGTTTTCAACAACAGAAAACCCTAAAATACAATTTTAAAACATCCTGAAGGAGGAAACTTGATCACAGGTCTACTTCTCTTCCTCTGGTCGGGGTTGAATTGTTGTAGGGAAGGGCCGTAGTGCCCTCAGATGAGAAGAACTCACTTGCGTACTGCCCATTACATGCTCTGCTTCTCTTGTGTTGCTCTCTGCTGTTACAGGGATTGCATACATAAATGAAAGGAAATGAGACTGTTTAGATTGTACCATGACCTCATTCACGTGACTGTGTGCCACCTCAACCACTTTTGTAATCACTGTTAATTCAGTATCAAAGGAAACTGGTCTGGCAGTGATAGGGATTTGCAGTGTACCGAACCGCCATCAAGGCCTCTTCTGCTAACAGAACCTGTTATTTAATGCTAGACTGTCCCTCTGTTGGCTTCATAAAACCAAGCATTAAGACTGGGAGGTTGCTGCTAAATCTGACTCATCCCTCTGAATATCTGTTCACCAAATCAACGGTCATTGTTCATGCTTTTATCAGCTGTTTCTGCAGCAAGAGGGCACTTCATCCCCTTTCATCTTTAGGATTCACTTGTCAGGCGATTAGGGGGATTTGTGTCTGACAGCTAAATAATCTAATTATATTCGCCATGCTGAAATAGTGGGATCAAGATTCTGCCTGTTTTGTTGATATGTTCTGTGGTGTGTTGGGAGTCAACCTAGGCTTGGAGTTAGGAAATACGAGCTCTGTTTCCACCATGTGTTTCTTGTGGGACAGGACTAAACAAGTCAGAGTGATACCTGCAGAGTAATGTAGGTGGAACAAGGCTGACTGCCACCATCTAGAAATGAGATTTATGGTAATCAGCATGCTGGAGGAGGATAGAGGGAAACTGAAACAGTACTCTCAGGAGTGTCTCTGAACCACCAGGCTGAAGATACAAAGGCAGATGGGAATATGCTACCCTTTTTGCTGGTGCTGAGACCATTCTGCAGCCAAGAATTCAAGATATACAGGGCCAGAGAGAAAATGCAGAACTTCACTTGTCTTTTGCAGTCTGGCGATTAGGACACTGCTGGGAGGGCATCATTATGGGCATTCTGGTTCATGCTGCATGTGACTTTCTATTGCAAATATTATTGACAAAATGATAGAGTTAGGTAAATGGAGAGAGAGAGATCATGCTGGGAGATGTCAGGGGATGCTGGTAGGGTTGAGGATCCTGCTCTTGGATTTGGAGTGTTTAAGTTCCCCAAAAGTCCTTCAAGTTCTAAATCTTGTTTTGTGCCTGTGTCCCAAAGGAGTAAGATTTGCTTGCTTCTTGGGAGTATTGAGCCTGATAGGTAGGAATGAATCAGGTAAAAGACTAAGCAATGTGAAAGCTGAAGTTGTATATCAGTATTTTGCAGCTTAGATCAATGTGTCTAGAGGGCTTGGAGGACTTTTTTTCTGAATTGACCTTCTTATATAAGGGAGGAATAGAGGAGGAGAAAGAATTATATTGAAATCTTCAGTTCAACCCAATTAGAGAGTTCATTATAGGAAGAGTAAAACATCTTGGCAGCGCAGGTCCATCTGAAACCAGATTTGCATGGCTTATCCATTTTTTTTCTTTTTTCCTGTCAGTGGTGCTTCTGTCACCCCTATAAATCCTTGGGTGTAGTCCCCTTACAATTAAAGATTACCAGTTCCGCTTGTCTTCTCCTCTCCCTGTCCCACAACAAATTCAGGTGTCTCTCCTCACTAGAGTGGGTACTGCATAACCCTTGTTTAAATTGTTTGAATTACGACTTTCTATATTCTCCTAGTAGATGTAAACATTCCTTCCCCTTCTCATCATGGAATTCTGGGACAACTTTGCTCATTCCACAATAAATGGTCTTTGGGTCTTGTGGGTCACTGTGATCTTTCAGCACATTCCATGTGCTACACCCAGTTTTGCTCTGCTCTTCATCTATCAGTAGACCTGTCAGGAGTCCAGTTTCTCGTTTCTTTGCTCAGGCTATTTCTATATGTGCAAAAAGAGTCATGTCTTCAGCCACCTTGCTCCCTGGGCTTTTTACCCTCTCTCCTGAACAAATTGCAACTCATGCAAAGACTGCTTTCTGACCTGTCTCTGAGCTCCCAACAAAATAACAGCCTTGTTTGGACGGTATTCTCTTTTTCTGTTCCCAAGGAGTCTGCTGGTTCCCCAGACGGATCTATCACCTGCACAGGCATTCTTTCTGAACAAGCAGATGAATGAATGTTTTCAAGTACTGCACTTGCATCTGCTTCTATAAATTAAGAAATTACATTGCAGCATGCCCTTCCCACTGGGATACACTAGTTTCTCCCTCTTTGCTCATGATTCTTTTGCTGTGATTTTTAGCTTGTTAAATTTAAGCTGCTTGTGGTTTTATCTGGGTTTTGGTTTCATGGCATAAGATTAATGATTCATGTATGATAAAGCAATTAGCAAATTCTTTCCTTTAATTAATTGTTCTTGAATAACAATTTCATCTTTAAAAAAAGAAAAACTCCCCTAAATTAAAGTTTTTGGATATTCCTTTAGTAAGCATTCCTGTCTGAGTTAAATAGCAGTGCAGTTTAGAGTATGTGCTCTCATGATTTTCCAAACCATTTCATGAAGCAGAACCATGAAGAAAGATTTGATCATGAATGAGCATGTTCTGAGATGTGCAGCTATCTTGAACTGCACTGTTTCCCTCTGAACCAAATGCTGTCTTCCCAGTCTTGCTTTCATCTTGAAGGCATTCTGTGCTTTTATCTGTGTGAATGCCCAGTAGCTTCAGATTCTTCATTATGTCTCTTCCAGTACAATTTTCAGTGCTTTCCAGCTAGATCTCAGAGTCAAGTCTTCATGCTCATACTTCTTTGACTTTAAGCTTCTTCAGCACAGCCAGCTCATGCTCTTTTCTTAGTTTTGCCCTCTCCTGATTTGCAAGAGTCCGTCATCTCCTGTATTTCTGTTACCTCCCTAATCGCTGCTTCAGATAATGCTTCTCATCTCTTGTTCCCACCTCAGCAAAGAAGTTGGGAGGTTCTGTAGGGTTTTGTTGTTGATCTCTCTTCCCCAGCAGTTCACAAACTCTGGATTGTAAGTAGAGTTGCAAGCTCATCAGAAGGTCAGTTGTTTCTGCTGTTGTTAGGTTGCAGCAGGACACTTCTGGCTATTGCAATTCATAGTTTGTCTTGCTTGTCAACACAAATTTGATGACTGTCTTCTGCAAAACTCTCAAAACTACCCATCTTCCAGAGGTGCTGGTTTTACCAGTCTAAAATCCCTATGTGTATTTTACTCCTTTTCATAGATAAATTTTGACACAGTGTACAAAATTACTAATATGGAGCTCTTCATATTCTTTATAGGCCCTGAAATTTTTCAACTACTTAAAGTGCTGTGCTCCTATTGCTTCTCATATTGACCAGTGTTTTCCTCATGGTCCCCAAGAGGTCCTCAGTGCCCTCAAGACTAAATCTTAGCTCTCTTGTCTCTTAGCTTTTACTCGGAAGGTCACTGGAGTATGGAGGAGGTTTTGTGGTGTTTATGCATACCTTACCAGAAAAGGAAGTTGAACTACAGCTAGGGCTTTTAAGTACTCATATCTATGCAAACAAGTAATAGTTACACTTACGTCCTCAACTACACATGGCCGGGATTTTAAAGCTAGACAGCTTTCTGGACAGGGAGAATAGCTGAGTGAGAGAGGGGGTAGCATGCATATAGTAATTGGTGAAGATACTTAAAGATGATTATCACCACTGTGATTTTACTTTGTTGGGGGCAGATAATGTTTGTTTACTGTTCTTTCAGCTTACCTGTCTGAGGCTGGTTATTGCTTATTGTAGTACTCCTCTGTAAATTAGTTATTTTTGCTCAAAATAAACAAAAATGGGAACTACTTAAAGAGATGTGGTCAACTTAAAAATCACACTCAATCTAGAATGACTGAAATGAATACTCCTTGTATGGACAGAAGTCAAGGGTTTTTTCCTCCACTCTTCTTTCAGTTTTACTTGGGGTACTGAATTGCACCTTTACTTAAGTACTTTCATCACATATTCAGTCCACCAATGAAACTTCTGTGAATCATCCCTGAAACTGTGTTAAGGTGTTAATGTTTAAAAATGTTAGTAAACATTTTTTTAAAGGGCAAATTTGAGGACCACACTTTTATGAGTTCTTTATCATTTAAAAAAAAAAAAAAAAAGCTAACAAAAACCCCACAGACAAACCTAAGTATAGTTTAATTTGCCTCTGTTTCTTTACTGTCTTTTTTCTACTCCTATATTTTGTATTTCCATTACAATTTTTTATGTTGTCCAACTTTTAACCAAACCTGCAAATTTTAAAGGAGAATAATTACTTTTTTTCAGAGTGTTGGAAAGAAATTACCTCCAGCCACAGCAACTCAGGAGCCAACAAAAATAGAAGTGGACAGCAGAACAAAAAGTAGGTTTCATAGTTTTTTATTCTTTGCTCTTTGTGCTATTATGCTTCTTAAAAGCAAGCTGAACACTTTTCTCTAGTTTTGGCTAAAAGAGTGTCCTGTATATATGAAAAGCGAGAATGCAGATAGATATATTTAGGGTAAACTTTGAGTAGGTGGTACATAGACAAAATGCTTTGTTTCACAGAATCCTCTGAATTGTTTTTGCTCTGATAATCCTACCTTGAATTTTCTGCTACCAAAAATCAAATTAAATTATGTGATCAGCTTTCAGCCTTGAGTGTACTTTAGAATTAATCAGGGTTGCGTAAGATCCAACTCCAGGCCGTTACTTGTAGGTGGGTCATAGAAAAATGTCTCTGGTTGTGAGTGCCCTTGCTTTTTTCCTCTTTTTTCTTCTTTTATGTAGCAGAAATAATCTGTGTGGGTGGTATAGTTTGTATGGGAAATGAACAGTGTCTAAGAACTTCAGTTCTGTTTTTGTCATTTCAGTGCTTAATAAACAAAAAGCAATAATTAAATCTTTTAGACAGGTCTCAGTGGTATTCTAAGGAGGCATATGTAACTAGTTTACCAAATAATTTATGTATATAGTCCCCATCTTTTGATTCTATTTATATGAAGTTACAACTAAATGTTATGGATTCTGGTAGAAAAGAAGAAGAAGGAACATGGGGTATGGTTGGGACATGGTTTAGTAGGCATGGTGGTATCGGGATGACAAGTTGGACTGATGATCTTAGAGGTCCTTTCAACCTTAGTGATTCCTAGTTTTAGTTTCATTAAAAATTAATCCAGCCACCAAGCCAGGAAACATGAAATTAATTATTACTCTACCCTTAATTGGTTTAGGAGTGGACTTGGTAGTGTTAGGTTAATGGTGGGACTTGATGATCTTAAAGGTCTTTTCCAACCTAAACAATTCTATGATTCTAAGTCAACATAGCCATACCTTAGAAAAGAAATTGAGTATAATATAAAGTGTTGAGTTTTTAAGTCTTGCGCAGTCCTTCTCCTTCCCTGATGTGTTTATCCTTTTAGATAGTTAGCAGATAACATTTTGTCTGAGAACTGAAACACATGCAGACATAGGAAGGCAAGCATCTGGAGCAGCAGAGCAGTGGCTGTCTGAGAGAATTGTATGGTTATGACCTGGTTTACCACATGTTTGCAGCTCAGAGTTGCAAAAGCAGCTTAAACCAGCTTTTAGTGAGTTATTGTCCATTAACTGCACCACACTAACTGACTTGCTGCATCCTCTTACCTTGTTCCCCTTGTGACACCAGGCTGTTAATGGGAAGTACTGCAAGAACTCAGTTGCCCTGAGGAAGTGAGAACTTGAAATACTGAAAAATATGCAAACTGGTAATGTAGAGCAGGGTTCCTGAAGGACTGTGTTTTGGAATTACCTTTCCCAACCTGCAGCTTAAGCAGGTTAAGCTGACCTGAGTGCAGATGCCATCAGAAGGGGTGGTCCTGTGGCCTTTCCCACCTGCGGCACTAACCCTTGTGTGGTAAGCCAGGCTGGGAGACAGCTGCCTCTTTCCACATCAGCTCATACTTCTGACAGCTGAAACTGCTCACTGAATCACATCCCAGGGTACTGGGGTTTCATACTTTTACTGCTTATAAACAAATTTGGAAACCTTCTGAACAATGGTTAGAGGACTCTACCTTCTACAGTCACACACTGAGCTCTGGTTGACACAGAGACACTTCTCCATCAACGCTTATGGGCTTTTGTTGGTTCTTCTTTCACCTTTTTGTTATTTCCTTCGGACATGCCTTTCTGGTCAGAAAATCCTGCTGCTTCTGTTGCCGTCTATTTTTACCATAGTTGTGTGCAAACATCATTCAACATCACTTTTGTCAGAACTGGTGAGAAGGGTGGGCTACTTATTTGTACAGTATCTTCTCATGTTCTATGCATTTTACCTAAACTTTATTATTCAGGGTATTTTATCTTTCCTGGAATCTCTGGGGCCTCAGTGGATTTTTTGGCATCTCTGTTCTTGCTTGGGAAAGAGAAGCACATGTATAGGAAGGTGTGATATAATGTAATTATATATAATTGTCTTAGCCTCAAATGGCATCACAGGAGATGCTTTTCAGTGAGTTGAAGTTGTCCTTCATTTAAATTGAAAAACCTTTCAGTGACAATGAAACATACTTCAGTCTGGTTTGTTTTTTGATATAGGTGGAGGAATGATTTTTTCATAATACAGTTAATGTCTGATAGTCAGACATGAGGAGTATGATCAGAGTCTGGCGTAGGACTGTGATCTATCTAGTATTTGTCATTTCTTCAAAATGTAATTTTTGCTTTCTCCTCAAAACCTATCACAAGCAAGTTTGAAAGAGCATTGAATCCAGGGAAGTTTGCAGTCTCAGGAAACTGGTGAATGTCCTGATTGTAGTGTTCAGCGTAAAAGTATCATTTCACCTTGGACCTCAGCTACTTTCACTTTTGCATGGGATGGTAGTGTCCCAGTCTTTCTTGGAGTCTTTAATTGCTGAACAAAACAGGTACTGTGCCATTCTCCGAAGAACTAGCAAGAAACAGAAGATCCGTAGATTCAGCTCAGTATGGAGAGGGGGCTTTTGGATATGTGATTTAGATTCCCTTGGGATTACTGCTGGAGATGTATGCTGCAAGCAAGAGAGAGATTACATTGGTAGAGGAATAAGACAATTTTTCGTCATCCACCCGTTTCTTTCCATGACTGATGCTGTTATTCCTTAATCTCAACTGGATAAAAAATGCAGTTGCACCATGAAAGAGCCTGCTGAGAGAGGAAACAGAGAGCAGTAGCATCTTCCTTCTCTGCCCACAAGGGCTTCAGCATGGACCGATGGTTGCTGACTCTTCCCACATCTTGATTTGAGTCTGCTTTTTTCCTATAGCTTTTCTGATGCGATAGGGCAGTGATTTGTAGCAAGGCACTTGATGTGCTTACCATTTGCTCTTAGTACATGCAAGATGGCCTAAGTTCTGCAATGGGATGAGTTGGTCAGAGCAAGAGACAGAGCAGTATGTTCTATAGGTGCATCTCCCAACAATATGCTATGTAAATCTCCCTAAAAAGTGGGCTTAAGATTTTGGGGGATAAACAGATGACTCTTCAGGGCCAAAGAGGACTTTTTGCTCAAAGGGAAAGCACAGTGAAAGCACAAATCCTTACATAGCTTGAGTGGTTCCTTGGAAAACATCACTAAACTTTCAGGAGTGAAAGAATGCATCTTTGAAGAGAAGAGGGAAGAGCTGTGTGGTTTAGATTTGTGGGTACCTAGACTTATAGGGGAATTATTCTGCTGTTGAATTTCCATCTCTCTTACATAGCTGGGATGGCACATGTATGTATGTGTGCTTATAATTCATCTCTGAGGTGAGATTTTTTTTTTTCTATGAAGTAGCTTGCTTTTAGTTTAAGTGTCTTGCGGTAAAAAGGCTATGTTATAGAAAATATGTATACATTTTTAAGTAGCTCTGTTGGATTCTAAAATTCAGCAAAGCAAACACATCCACAGTGAGTGAAAAAGCTATAGCAGATTACTGAGATTGCAAAAATGCAGTATAAATAAACAGACACAAAACAGCAAAGGCAGTAAGTCACAGAATGCACTGAACCCAGCACTTAATTTGATTGCTCCACTCACTGACTATTTACAATTTGTGTTAACCTATTGCATAATAGGAATACCAAAATCCTAGCAAGCAACTAATCTTTTTGGATGATGTTCGTAGGTATAAGGAGTAGCTGAATCTGGATTAATGGGGCCCTAATTAGTTCTGTTTCTATTTTTTGTTTGATGAGGTGCTGTTTTGACAGTTTGCATCTCGTGAAGTTCTGTGAAAATATTTATTAGTGTAATCCATTTATGAGTCTTGAGTGTAGCAATTAATAGTAAAACCAAATTCTGCTGAATGTAGTGTTTGGATTTTTTTCATCTGGTCTGTGGTTTTGGTAATGATATAATTTTTCACTAGATTTTCTATATTTTATTCCATTTCAGAAGCATTTTATGAGTGATAGTTAAAGAGAGGAAGCTTAAGCTCAAGGAATACTACTTTAATGCTGCTTGTTTTCTTACTTAATATTAGTGTTTGTGTCCATACTTTTTGGTGTGTGATTTAGACTTCATCAAGGGGGAAATAATCAATTTCTGACAAGTTAGAAGGGTGAATCCAGCCCAGTGGTTAGGTTACCTGAGATGGAGGAAATCTTGCCGTGGGGTGGAACAGTTCTTGCCTAACAACAAGGAAGCAGCAGCAGAGGTAAAAGGAGGAAATTGTGTCATCCTGGCCTAAGAGGAAAAGCAAATTCCAGAGTCACTGTCCCCTGTGAAATTTAAGCTTGAAGGTATGTTTGTCTTCGGACTTGAACATCATAGCTCATCCGAAGAGTCTGGTGGGAGAACAAATAGAAGAGGCATGCTTTTGAAGTGAACAGGTTCCACTGATACAATAAATAGAGTTTGCTCAGTTCTGGTTTGAACAGTGTAATATTTAACCAGTCTCTCAAAATACAAACAAATGAATTTACCTGCTACAGTACTGCAGGACCCCAAGTCATATAGAAGGTCTCTATACATTGACATTAGTGCTTTACACTGCAATTGTAAATACATATCGAGCCACTGAATTCTGTGGGTAAAATACAGTGCTTGCAATGGCCTAGGTAATGAAGCGGCTGTATTCTGTAGGAATGTTATCCCTCTTTGAGGCAATGATTTTGGGGGGTGCTCTGGACTGTTGTCAAATAGGCAGCATTTTGAACTTGGGACAGACTGTGGAACATAAGGTGCTGAACAGAGATGCATGTTAACTACCCCCAGAAAACATCCAGCTCTTTTTAGAGGACAGCCCCTTTGTAGTGTTTAGAATGGTCCTGAGACTTTTTCCTCAATGAAGTGTGGGCAGTGACAGACCACTTGTGCTAAATATCTAGTTCTTTGCTGCTGCTTTTTCTTCCAACTTCTGAGCGACAAGGACGATGCTGGG